TGTCGATTCAAATCCCGTAGTGATAGAGGCGGTAAGAGTATAAGCAGTAATCGGATAGATTAGGGTTTGAAGATGTTATTCAAAGAGTATAATCCAGTGAAATAAAATTGGAAAGAAAATAAGGGACATGAAGAATTCAGAAGATTAGAATTTGGGAGAACACAAAGAGTGGATGCACCTGCGCCATTGCAAACGATTTTGAGCCATGTTATTCAGGGTCTCTAACCACCGGTTGCTATCATCTCGTGGTCCCCAACCAGGTAGTCTACACCTACCAACATGACTCAGTCCACTTGTCAGTGACTTCATTTATTTGTGCCATGTTTTGGTCTGGCCGCCCCTAGCTTTCTTCAAACCTACTCCTATACCATTGAACATCGCTCGTCGAGGCAGTCGGTGGTTGGACATACGTAACAGCCATGTCAACTGATGAAGTTTCACTACTTCATCAATTGATTTGCCATCCTTACCTAGTACCCGTTTCCTAACAACTGTGTTGCTTATTCGATGGTCCCATGATATATGAGCAATGTTCCAAAGACAACTATGATTGAATACTACTAACGTACGAATATCCTCTACTCTTGCCGGCCATGTTTCACTGCCATAAAGTAGGACGGAACGAACTGCTGCGCAGTAAACACGTCCTTTGGTTAATAGACGGATATCTCGCCTACGCCATAAATGACGCAAGTTGGCAAAAGCTAGTCGAGCCTTCTGTATCCGCGCTGAAATTTCGTCACACACTAAACCACAAGGGCTGATGAGACTTCCAAGATAAGTGAAGCGGTCGACACACTCAACTACTTCGCTCCCTATCACTAGTTCGGGTGTCGATGTAACCCAATCCTGAAGCAACATTTTGCATTTCGAGGGAGAGAATCGCATCCCGAATATGCTTGTATTGTTGCTTAGAGTGGTCAGAAGACTCTGCATTTTGTCAGCGTCTTCACCAAATAAAACTATGTCATCAGCATATTCTAAGTCAACAAGTGAACCTCCCGGTAGAAGTTCAACCCCTGGAAATTTAGATGAGGAGAGTGTTATCTCTAAAAGTACGTTGACCACAAAGTTGGCTTGACCTTATACAAATATTATTTCCTATTTTATGGTGCGGTGTGGTCTGTTTGGCTGGTATATAAACCAAATATGTCTGAAATAAATGATTCGCATAGTGAGAGATGTTATTGGTGTTGTGGACTCAACTGGACGGGCTAGGCGTGCAAAAGACCAATAAGGACGCTAGGCAGATCATACCGGTCAAACGTTATTGGTTTGTTGTCGTGGACACGTTAGATTCCCAGGACTCACTTGGAAAAGGTCCTAATTTTGTAATTTTATTTAGAAAATTTGAATTTCTTTGTTTTCTCGAAAAAAAAAAACGCTCTTTCCACCTTCGTGTCATATTTCCCACTCTGAACAATCTCAAACGCTATTGGTCCGTTGTGTCTTTTAGTATGCTATTTTGTAACCCTTCCCAAGGACGGTTTTGTGCTGCGCTTATGCGTTTTGATTTGTGTCTGTTATTATCGCTCGTGCTTCTAGATTTTTGCAAAATATACTTCCCCGTTCGGAATTCGACTTCTTTATGTAGTTAGCGGGGTTGGGACGCAATAGAATAGCTAGGTTACTGGTCTTTGGTTACAAGTCTTTGTTCAGTTCGCAGACTAAGTGAACTCGTAACCACTTCAAACCTAGCATAGTACAGTCTAAGAGTGAACAAGTCGTATTCCGATTGGTCAATAAATTACGTGACTTAAAGTCACAACACTATGTTATACATTGTGATACGTAACTTTAAAAAAGGTATCTTCTTACTAAATTCATACAATGAAAACTATCATTCATATTGAAAGTTCTATTATAGAGATACTTCCAAAAGAGATGAATGATTTTATCACATATCTGAGCATTAAAATGTATTCTATAATAATGAAGAGAATAAAATAGGTGGAATGAGTTATTTGCTTATGAATGGAAGAATAAAAGCTAATGGATTTTTTTAAAAACATCTTTTAATTATCTTAAGCTTTCTATGAAAACTGATTAAGAAATTAAGCTATTGACTTAAGGGAATAATTGAAGCAATTCGCACAGGATGTACAAATGTCAACAAGAGATATCAATGAGAAAATTCAAATAAACAATACAAAAATAAATAAACACTTCATCCCATTGCATAAGATAGTGACTGTCTAGGCTTAGTAACTGGGTAGATAACGCGATGACGTTTGAAGCGAATGTTACTAGGTTCGAGTCCTATAGTGAACATCAACTCAAGGGATGTAAACACATTTAGCTGATGAGTCTCAAATAAGACGAGATATGTGTCCTGGATTCCATTGTTAGCCACCACTTTTATTCATAAAAATAGAAATTATTGTACATTATATTTGTGTTTACAGTCACATACTCTTCAAAAGTATGAAAAATGTTAAAATATTAAAAAGTACACTTAAATACAAGATAAATAAAGCAATTAATTCAAATGTAGTGACCTATAAAGGTTGAGTAGAGTAGTGACCTTGATGATCCAATCAAATAACAGTAAAATAAATATTTAAAACAAAAAATCACTGGACCAATCAGAAAACAATTTAAATAACGATTTAATTGAACTCTTAATTTGTTCATTATTAAAATTTAAAGTATCATTAATTAAGAATAAGATGAAAATAATATAGTGACTTAGCTTCGTTGTTAATCCAGCAATTTGATATTAACACCATTGGATGTCAGCTCAGTGGTCCAGTAGGTTAAGCGTTCGAGCGCGAGACTGAAGGCCCTGGGTTCAAATCCTGCGAGCGGGATAGTGGATGCGCACTGCTGAGGAGTCTCACAATAGGACGAAATGCCCGTCCAGTGCTTCTAGGTTTTCAATGGTGGTCTAACATCAATCGGTTCATGATCTCAATCAAAAAGTTGATAACCGTTATTATATATAAATTCTAACAGTGTATGAATTCAAAGGGCAATAAGAAGCGGTGACTACAATTTATTAGTGGATAGTAAAGATAACAAAGTTACAAGTAAAACGAGTAAATTTGGAGAAGAGTGGCTAGTTTGTGTAAGTGAGAGAATACACAGGTGAGTTTGTAGTCAAATCGAACCAGGGGGGAATGAAATAAGGCAAAGGCAATTAATGGGATTCGAGCGCATACATAAGAAAGAGAATGATACATTGAGTAATATTTAAGCGATCTAGAGAGAGAGAGAGTTATGTGCATAGGCTGTTACATGTGATCATAATAATATGAAGAAATAGACGAATTGTTACTGTTCGAAGAACATTGTCTGTTAAATACGTTAATGTTATATCCGAGTGGAGATTAAATTACAGGTAACTTCCGAGGACTATTCATGGACTAATATCCTATAAATATTCTTATTGTATAACTATTCAACAATTACATTATGTATATTTATATCCCTCTTGTGACGAGCTTTATTTTGGCCTATAATTTATTATTGTACGAGTTACGGTTCTTAAGTTATGTTCAGTTTATTAACTACTGCCTCCCACATTCATAGCCACTTTTTGGGCTTATTTGTGTACAAATATTATTTCCTATTTTATGGTACGTTGCGGTCTGTATGATTGATATGTAAACCAAGTATGCCTGAAATAAACGATCTGCTCTGATTCGGAAGCTGGTATCTTGTTCTGGACTCAAGTGGAAGGGCTCGTAGGACATAGGATTAATAAGGACGCTAAACTGCCCACACAGCTTGAACGTCATTGGTTGGCCTAGTGTGAAGATTCGTATAAGTCGTATTCGGATTGGTAGATAAGTCGTGTGATCGAAAAGTCAGACATCCAGGGTCATAACAGTTAATAAAAGGGCTTAACCTAGAATTAACCATAATCGAAATTAATCGTAGGAGTGTTGTTACAAAAGTATGTAAAACTTCAATCATTTCAAGTCAATATTAAGTTAAACAAAAAAAGAACAAACTTATTGTGAATAGATTATCAAGATTAGAAGAAGAAACTGATTTATAAGTTAGGATTACTTGTTTATGGAATATTTATAGGTCACACATGTTTCCACATTTTATACACTGTATTGTATGATTTATTCCATTACAACATCCCGTCTATTCAAAGCAAGAAAATATATTAACTACTTCAGAGACTCCTCTTGAACGCTACATCAGTCAGTATCATGTAACGTATTTTAAGTTTTTGGAAAGTGTAAGTACGTAAACTCTACTCATGATATACATAATTATTGGATTAATCCATTTCAGTCAACATATTATGACTAGACTCTAGTTTCTTGTTTATGTTATCGTCTAAGAATATCTTCCTAGCTCTATTCCCAAGACCTTTATCTATCTTTCTTATTGAATTTCTTATTTAGTTAAAATCAAAAATCTTATTTAAATATTAGAATAGTTTGGAAATAAGTAATCCGTGAAATTTGAGTGACTAGCATTGCAATTTATTCCAGATGAGAAAAAAATAGACATTTCGACAATCACCAATTATGTGTCTAATAACTCACAGAAAAGATGCTGTGACTATGAAATCCAATGATGTTAGAATTAAGTCATTCATTACTGATGATATTGGATAATCATAGAGTTATATCACAATGTGACTAAAGTTTAACCTGGAAACTATTAGATGCCAAATAAGCGGCCTAAAGGTAACATACTCTTCAAGAAGTTCAAAAGTCTTTTACGGTGTTTTCGATGCGCTCGAAAGTTAATGGATATTACTTTCCTAATTCAATGATGGTTGGAAATGAATCATGATCCCAAATATCTTGTTGGAAGAGATAAATTCTTCCTTGTGATAAATATCTACCAAATTCATATCTGAATCTTTTTGAAAAATATATAATTGTTATCAGTATTTACAACACTTGATAGAAACTGATATGTTTATTACATAAGCTACTTATCAGTTAATTTCAGTAGACTAAAATATGTAGAAAAAAATTGCATATGAATTTTAGAGAACTATGTACAAATTATGTGTAAAACGTCAATACCTCAAAACAGTGACTTCGTTTAGCTTGTTCAAGCATTGCTTCCATGGCAGGCAAAAGTATAGGAAATATGAAACGTTTTAAATATTCTCTTGGAGTACCTATTAGAAAGGGAAAAATAAATAAAAACAGGTTTTCCATGATGGTCTAGCTTCAATTGTCTCATGATCTCAACAATTGAAATTACTAAAATCTCCACAAAACCCCTTCTGATACTAATCAAAATGTGTTTACTAGTGACTGGCTTCAAGATGTATATCCTGGAGTTCTAGTGAGAAGCAGTAACCAGTGGAGTTCAAACGGGTCAGTTGTGAGATAGTAACTCACTGATGACAATGGTGGATGTGTCGCTCAACTTCGTGGATTAGTTGAATTTAGACATTATCACCGTTGGATGTCAGTCGGATTAGTGGTCTAGTGTTTAAGTGCTCGCGCGTGAGACCAGTAGGTCCTGCGTTGGAATCCCGCGAGGTGGGATCGTGGATACGCACTACTGAGGAGTCCCACAATAGGACGAAACGGTCGTCCAGTGCTTCTAGGGTTTCCATGGTTGTCTATCTTCAATTGACTCATGATCTCAACCATTGAAGTCACTACAATATCCACAAACCCCCTTCTGACATTTGTGTTTATTGATAAAATGACATCCCGTGCATTACTATCGGCTTCTTTCATAAATAATATAATACATTCATGTGTTTTAAAAGTCATTTCCTGTCTGAACGAATCGACTTATTCTTAGCTACCAGAGTATGTTTTGAATATTTGGAGACTCTTCCATCCTTAATTTGCAAGCAATAGAATGACTCTACTGAGTTTACTCTTATAAGTTAAATTATATCATTATTCTATGGCAAGACTAAACTGTTGATAATTCGATGTGTAGTCTAATGTGTTGTAATATTACTAGCAATATTAATTCTTTTAATAGCGATGTCGATTGTTGTTGCTAGTAATAATTGTGATATACATTGCATACTTCATTATCATCATCACCATTACTGATTATTATGACCTGACAGATTGGTTGCCTTTGAGAAAAAGCATGTCACATTACAAACAGTTTCATTAACATGTTGTAGAAGTCATAGTTACCCGTAGCGTTTATAACGTGAACGTATAACACTAGGAAGTTAGTCATTAATGAAATTGGAATCATTACGAATATGCACCAGTTCGAGCTTCAATATACTTATAATTAACGCAGAGAGGTTAATTTAATAAAAAGTCTAGTGGAAGGAAAACGAGGCAAAGTTAGTGTATACGATTTAAAAAATACTTAATTTATAAAATATGGTTTATAAAAGGAAGGAAGTGTGGTCAAACTGTAACACTTAAGAAAGATAAAGAATAAATGGATCTCAACTACTGTGATTGATTTTATGTCTTGCTGATCAAGAGTCACATTGCTGACTAGGAATTCTTCAACTTCTGACAAGGTTTAAACCAAGAGTCAACAACTTTGTGGCCTAATGACATATTACGGTTTGGTTACCACTAACTCGTGAAATAAAAACGTTTGCAATGATAGCAAATTTTGCAGTAATCATTATCACCATCATTCTCATTATCATCGCGTTATGATCTCTAATCGATAAAACCACAAAATGTTTTCATTATGGATACAAAATGTTCTGAAGTTCATAAAATTATTGATATGTGTAGTTTGTGCAGTTTTTATTTTAAGTCTGTCACTGTATCAATCAAGTTCGGGTGATTCGTATGTTTGTCTTAATAACTGAATCAGAAATATGCGTGACTGTAATTATCCGAGTGGATAAAGTTATAACAGATAACTCATTACTAATTTATTTATTTCTGTCTTAATTACTCTTGAATAAGATAAGAGAATGATATAGGTATAAATTATTCTAACAAAACTAGTCATTATAGTGTAACGAAAACGTTTCGATGTATATGCTGTCGATTATGTTAAAATCCTGACCCCTCCCAAGATTTCACAACATTTTCAAAATATGCGTTTTATAAACAAATATGACTGACTTTTTAAGCAAAGATAGACGGTGGCTAGCAGTGGAAACCAGGACGCGCGATCCGTCCTATTTGGATGTACCTGCATCCCAGAGTTGATGCTCACCCCGTGACTCGAACTCAGTACCTATGGCCCCAATCACCATTGGGTTATCCACTTAGCTACTGAGTCCTGATAGCCACATGCTCGTGCAATGGGGTGAGGTTTAAATTCACTTGGTGTTGTTTTACTTGCATCTTCCTATTGTTATTTAGGACTGCAACTGATCAGTCTCTTGTTAGCATATGTGCAACTCTGGGATGCAGGGGTAGTGAACAAGAACACGACTGGGGACAATGGAATGTGTTTGACACAAACTTACAGAACTTGTTATTAAAATCTAATAACCATATAGTAAATGCTCAATTTGCAAAATGACCATCATTTGTCTCAAAATGACTTAAACTTCATTGTTCTTGCATTTTTATACAAATTGCGTTCAGTTTTCATTCTTGACTGTTCGATCCTCTTGTCTCTTTGCTGCCAGACATTCTGTTTCTGACTAACGTCATATACTACTTAGGTCGATAAAAGCAGCACACACCATACAGGTACATCCAGCTGACGAGCCCCAAATAGGATGAAACGCGCGTCCTGGATTACACTGCTAACCACTATCCATCTTTGCTTAAAAAGCTTATGACTAAAGGCTATATTGAGGCAATCCGCACAGTATGCACATATGTTAACATGAGGCTGATCAATTGTAGTCCTAAATAACAATAAGAAGATACAAGTAAAACAACACCAAGTGAAATATGACTGATCAACTTACATTTCTTTGCATAGTCTGAGTTTGGCTTCAATAATGCATTATCCATAGATGTATGTTGATCATCGTCACATAAATTTTCTGGTGATAATTTGAAGGACTTTATTTAATTCTGTTCTCATTTAAAATATTGAGTATTACTTGAAGAGTTTGAAATGAATCAGAGCTTAAAGTTGTATTTTTGTAGACTTCTTCGGGTATTAAACCATATTTTTCTAATTGAGAATCTAAAACAGAATTTGAGATAATTTTTTTGAAATCAATAATTTAATGTTAATACTCATTTAAAATAAAGATCAGTTTGCACGTTAATGATCTATAAAGCAAAGCTGTAACTGGTTATAGACGTCATGAAACATTCTAAATTCTTATTTAAAGAAACATCAAGCTGATTTGCTGAAGCGGATATGTGTTACCATGCACAGACATGCTAATACAAAGATTTGAAACCCCTAATACAAATGAAGAAACTAAAGTTATCATAACATCTCACAATGTGGGAATAAAGAATCGGTAAAAAAACAAGTTTCAATCTTAACACAAGTGGTTTTACTAAACGAATAAAAAAGAAACTAGCTATTATAATAAATATCTCTAGTGTAAAGACCTAATGTCCTGCAATTATTCTTGATTAGTGTTATTTCAAGAAATTTGATCAATGATACTTAGCTTCTTTGAACTGACCAAAACTGTTGTCACTGACTACTTCGGATGATATCTTGTTACGATAAGTTGTTAATGGGGTCAGATCTATCGTCTTTCTACCAGATTTATCACAATGTACATCTAGAAGAAAGAAAGAAATATTTGGATGCCAGCTAAAAAATAGAGCCCGATCATTTTCGACCAAGTATACTGGCCAGAACTTCTACTTTGAACAATAACAATAAATATGCCAATAATACTGATATAACAAACAACAAATGAAATAGGAAAACAAGAACGCTGAGAAACTGATAAGAATTTCACTTCGGCGGTCTGTCTAGAATTTTGTAAGTGTAGAAGTAATGCAGCATTATAAATTGGTCAAAAACCAACTATATGTAATGATCTCTAGTTCCGGGAGGTCTTAACTAGCCTACACTACTTATTATTTATTTACGTAAAGCGGATCACTGAATCATTATCTTGATCGAAAAGCAAAATCCCTTAACTTTAGAGAAGAATACGAAAACCAACAATAAGCTATGGACATCTGCTTCAGAAGCTGTTATCCAGGATAATGTACTTAAGACATTGAGTGATTCAGATGCAACGAAACCAACAGCACCAGGATAGTTAATATTAATGTCGGCCATATAAACTGGAATATTCATGGATTATTCCTAACAGTGATATTCAGATTGTCACTGTACCGATGACCGTTACTTCTACATTGAAAGGATGGTATGTAGTCATCTTTACCCACAAGACCGTACCTAAATAGCACTCATTTCCGATCAGCCTTACAAAGACAGTTTCCAAGACTTGACGAAATTAGTTGAAACGTTATTATACTTTTTGAAACTTGTAGCTCTTTAAAGAACAGATTATGCAGCTTAAAGTGTACACTTCTATGTACGACAAACCAGTAAATAGCATGACAGAGCTGATAATCCCATTCGAATGAAGTCTACAGATGATAAAAGTTATGGATGAGTGAGTGTAATGAAAAGCATGTAAGTTTAAAATCCTCGTACTTTGACGATACTAATCAAAGTACTTTCCATTCCTTACCTGGAGAGCAATACACTTTGATGTATCGAGTATTACAACACAAGAATCGTGGTTGTTTATTCCTCAAGCAAAAAGTCATTAGTACGATAGAACGGATCCGCCATATGGAGTATTTGTTATGAAATACACGGAAATATATGCCAGTATTTTCCAAGAACAAAACAAAGAACGAAACTTAGGTGTGTTTTGCTGAAAGTATTTCCTGAGCAAAGTGACATCACTCAACTTGAAGCGACCATCGTGACATGAAAACTTAACTAACTACTATCATTAATTTCAATACAACTAACCTGATAATATGTTATTCCATAATGTGGCCTTCGACATCTTTTTGTAATTGTCATTAAACTGTTGCCTTAATAATGTAAGAATATGACCCATTTAAACAAATCATCATAGCTTGAATTTTGTTCGTTCTCTTAGTTCTGGGTGAGTCTATGACACTGACACTTTTTGAAGCTTAATTTGGGTTGAAATATGTGGTTATTTTATATGCAGGTTTGTTGCAACAGAGAGTCTGAAATATAAAGATTCGTGTAGTAAGTACAGAAGGCCTACGGCCCATGTTACCCCTTTTCTAGTATGCTCCTGTGAGTGTCCAGTCTTCTCTTGAATGAGTCAAATGAAGGTGCGGACACCACGGCCTCGGGTGACATGTTCCAAGTATTGATGACTTGATGTGAAAACCTGTATGCCACGGGTACTTTGTTCGTAATTTTTAGGTCCAAAATCATATATCAGTATTCTGTACGTTAAAATTAGATCTCCTCGTAGTCTGCGATGGGACGGAGTAAAGAGGTCCAGCTTTTCAAGCCGTTTTTGTATGGTAAACTCCGAAGTTCTGGAAATGCACGGGTAGCTGCCCTCTTTACTTTTTCTAGGATATCCGAGTCACCTTTTAGACAGGGGCTTTCAGCCTGAATGCAGTTCTCAAACTTAGTTCTCACTAAGAATGTGTATATTGTGATGAACATGGTAGTATCTAACTTAGTGAATGTCCGTTTTAAAGCCCAGAGTGTTCGAAACCCCTTAGCTGCAACCTCCCGGCAATGGACTGTTGTCTTGAGATCATGACTCACTGTCACCCCTAAATCCTTATGAGACCGAACGACAAGCACTGGCACTTCCTCTATGCTGTACCTATTAACCTTTGAATCCCCAAAATGCATGTAGACACACTTTGCTGTGTTGATAGGCATCAGCCACTCTTTAGACCAGTTAATCATATCATTTAAGTCTACCTGAAGAGCACATACGTCCGGGTCTCCAATTATTACTTGCCAGATTTTTACATCGTCAGCGTGTAACAACATTGGGGACTGTACTATACTTGGGAGATCATTTACATACAGTATAAAAAGTAAAGGACCTAGGACGGAACTTTGAGGTACTCCACTAAGTACTGCAGCACTTCTAATTTATTATTACTTTCTGTCTACGACCTACTAGTAAATCCTTAAGCCATTCTAAAAGAGGTTCAGCAATACCAAGGTTTTCCGACTTCAATGACAGTCTATTAGTTAGCACCTTGTCGAAAGCCTTAATGAAGTTTATGTAGACAACATCCACTGAGTTTCCATTGTCTAGCACCTTTATCCAAAATTCCCTTGCTATAAGGATAGACCCTATAAAGATAGACCCTTTCTAAAACCATATTGTTCTTTGTTTAGCAAGTTATTCGTTTTCCATAAATGCCAATTTGGTCCGTTTGACTATTCTTTGCAATATTTTAACTGCAACACTGGTGAGGTTTACAAGTCTGTAGTTTGATGGGAGTTGTCTTGCTCCTGTTTTATGTATGGGAGTGACGATTGCGTCCTTCCAGTCCATAGGCAACACACCTTGGTCAGTTGACATATTGAATATCACAGTCAGTAAGGCCGTGATATATTGTACAATATGTCTCGAAAATTTTTTTTTGGGGGGGTCATGTGATTCTGTTGACTGTTGCTAAGAGCCTTAAGTACATCGTCTTGACCGAAGTTCACGATGAGTATATGGTTTGTTGACTCTGTTTTTTGGTCTGATTCTTTGTCTAGAGGAGGTTCCTGAGTGAAAACTGCCCCAACTTAGTCAGCCATAGCCTCTGCTTTTTTCTGATCTTCCTCTATCATTTCAGATTCATTCCCTTCTTTAATTAGGTTGGGAATCCAATGATGCATCCTTGTTCTGCAGTTTATGTACGAGAATATTCTCTTAGGCTGCTTGAGTGCAGAATGAGCCAACTGCATTTCATATTTTCTTTGAGATTCCGGATTTTAATTATGCATGTGTTTCTTACCGATGTGTAGCGTTCCATCGAACCTGCTGTGCCAAGGCTGATAGCAACATTCCAACGTTTCTTCTTTTGTCTAAATAAGCATCGGATATCCTGGCCTATTCAGGGATGACCGTGCTTCTTCATCTTTGGAACTGTCCAGGGTATTTATGGTAGAATTATCCGATCGCTTTTAAAAGCTACATAAGAAAAAAAAGGATGATCACACCTAATAACGATGAAAATGAATTCAGAACAGAAACGCAAGTAACAGAGCTGTTATTTCAGTGAATTAAGGTTGAACCTTAGCTAAATTATTTGTCATAATGAATGCATCCCTACGAAAGATGACAGATCATTGAACTTTAGAGCGTTTGCCGTGAATTTTGAGGATCAAGATAGGCTGATGTCAACTAACCGTTTGATTCCATACGATTTTCATGTATAGCGGCTTGACTTTATGCTCTGTCCATATTATTCTTTTCTACCCTTATTAAAATATGATTATACTTGGTAAGCTCTTGCCTACATTGAACTAAATGTCATCTGCTTACCATGGGACAGTCTGAGAAGCTGTTAGACACTATGACTTCGAAGTTGTTGATGATGTCACAGGTATTCAGTGTTTGACAACGCTTCTACCAGTAACACCTTCTAATATATTTTGTTCCCACCCAGAGAAATCAAAAGACAGAGTCGAGGAGATCGGAAGAGTATATTTAACGATGGCCAATATATCGGAATTCTCTGATCTAATCTGGCTAGCGATTGCGGTTGATGTTGAGCACGGCGTTACCACACGTGATCTGGTGTAGATGCCTGATCGAGCGCCTTCAGCTAGATGAGTCCACTAAAACATATGGTCAGCATCCAATGTCGAAAACTTAGTGCTATTTATTTTGGGGATTTATTTACAGCTACATTGTGCCGTTTGATTGAAGCAGCATCAATGTATTTAACCAGAACGAGACAAACAGATAATCGATATAAGTAAGCTCATTATACTGAATAGGGTTTAACTCTACGAACTCAGTTACTGTACAGCTTAGATGATAACCTAATAAGACATGCCATACGATGATTGCACTCAAAAGAGCTAAAAAAAGCTAGCACATTTTTGTATCTTAAAACATATGAAATTGTTTGGTAATTTTTAGGTAGACGTTGCTTACATAGTTTGCACCTCACATCATAACCATAACCACTTATAGATATTGCTTTCTAAAAAGTGTGTATATCTACGTGCCTGACAAATCTCAGTATTCGGTCTGAATACAGAACTAAAGAAACAAAGTTTATTGAGTTAGGCCAACCTACGTTCTTCTGTATGGCGTGCGAAGCGTTTTTGAGCGACTCGTATAAAACTATATCAAAGCACAAATTTTGTGCTCAATTTAAACGGTTCTAGTTAAAGAAGAAAACACATTATGTTTTAGCGTGGCGTCGAGTTGAGATCAACTGTGAACACCGCTACCAAGAAACACGTGCCAAGCGAATCTGAAGGCGTAAGAAGCTCGTTCCAAATGACTCCATAAAATCCCCGAGAAGCCAAATATCAGAAGACAGTTAATGGACCAAGTCGAGGTTTATTAACTGGCGATCTCGTGGCATCGAAAGGATACCGAGATCGTGCCAGGATACAACCTTGGTTACAGAACGTAACCGAATTCGCGCGAAGTTACAACCGAAGTGTAAGTATAAGAATGGAAGCACAAAATAGCTATAATTAGCACAGTTAAACAAAAGCACATTAAAACAAACACTGGTACAGTTGGTTATAATAATAATAATTGTTTTTATTAAACTAGTCGTGTTCTCGTGATAAACGTGAGTCACTACAGGAGCCCCCCGCTAGAAAGGGTTTACACTTTCGATAAATAGCGGTTTGAATCGTGGGACTGATCGGCTGACGAGCGATTGTAGGACGGAAGAATTGGCGAACAGGAAAGCGATCGTTGATCGTCGAGTTGCCAACGAAGGTCGTTTTCGGAGAACGGTACCAGGAGCGATGTGCTGTATTTGTTGCTTGAATTGGCATGCTACACCAGAGTGGTTTGTATCCAGAATCTGAAGAGGGCGTTCGTAGAGGTGCGCACCAGAAACGCTGCAGACGTAGGACGAAACCACGTTGAGCCAAAAGACCAGAAGCGACCGTAACGACCAAGTTCGAGACCAAGCGTATGCCAAGCATTCGAAACCAATATATCGACTGAGTGCGTTGACAAGAGCATGGGTGATCAGGCCAGCTTTCGCCAAAGTTGACTGAAGTCGACGGAACCAAACGGAGATGGTCGAAGGCGTGGGCTCAGGAAACAAAAAGAAAATCAAAAAAAGAAGAGTGTAGCATACGTGTAGTATAGGAATAATCCTACACCGTATCGGTTGTTCACTATGCGATTAGTCGCGGAAGCGTACGGGTAACCGTACTCGGCGACCGGAACGTGAGACAGCAGTCTCGTTCGTATCGCGTGAGCCTGCAATCTCATCCGAGGTCAGAGGCGGCGTGGTCTGCTGATCTGGACGTGAGACTATCGTCTCGTCCGTAGACGGTGCAGATGACGCGTGCTGTTGACCGGGACGTGAGAATGAGGTCTCAGATGCATCTAGCGTGGGACCTGAAGAAGATTTAAGGATCCCGCTAGGTTTGATAGGTCTAGCATTGAATCTCAGGGTGTCAGATAGGGCACTGTCATCGACGTGTGCTGGTTTGAGACGATCAATGCTGACGATCTCGACGCGTCCATATCGATCAACCTTGAAGGTCTTTTCGTGACGAGCGATCACGTGAAAAGGGCCTTCGAAAGGTTGTTGCCAAGGTTTACGTACCGAATCTACTCGTACAAAAACATGTGAACAGGTAGATAACTCTCGAGGGAGAGCGACCTGTCGATGTTGTATTCGAGTTGACACCGGAGACAGCGTTCGCATAAATGCAGACAGTCGATGGACGTAGTCTGATTTACCGAAATTAGGTCTGCTCCGTGGTGTGAAGAATTCTCCGGGCAGACGCAATGTCGTGCCGTATACCAGTTCAGTGGCGGAACATTGTATATCTGCCTTTAAGCTCGTTCTGATCCCTAAAAGAACGAGCGGTAAGGTTTCGTGCCAGTTGCCGTTTTTCGTG